GTGGAGGAGGTGGAGGAGGTGGAGGAGGTGGAGGAGGTGGAGGAGGTGGAGGAGGTGGAGGAGGGTAAGAGTCAGCGAACGCCCCCCGCGGATCGTCACGCGTTACGCCTCTAGCGTGACGCATATGAACCTCGGGGGGATTGGGTGTTTTTTCGCCATGCGTGCTCTAGCGTGACGCATAGGAATCCCGGGGGGGTTGGGTGCTTTTTGACGATGTGCGCTCTAGCGTGACTCATGACCGGAAAGACTTCAGCTGAGTGCCCTCTATTCAGATTGAGGGCTCTCCCTTGAAGGTCCTCACGATCGGAAGGGCTTCATCTGCGAGCCCTCTCAGAGTGAGGGCTCTCCCTTGAGGGTCCTCATGATCGGAAAGACTTCAGCTGAGTGCCCTCTATTCAGATTGAGGGCTCTCCCTTGAGGGTCCTCATGATCGGAAGAGCTTCACCCGCGAGCCCTCTCAGAGTGAGGGCTCTCCCTTTAAGGTCCTCTCTCAGTCATGCTCGGAAGAGCTTCATCTGGGGGCCCTCTCAGAGTGAGGGTTCTCCCTTGAAGGTCCTCGCTCATGATCGGAGGAGCTTCACCTGGGGGCCCTCTCAGCGTGAGGGTGGGCTCTCCCTTGAGGGTCATACGAGTGTCTTCTATTCAGGGTGAGGGTTCTGTCTCCCTTGAAGGTCCTCTCTCATGATCGGAGGAGCCTCATCTGAGGGCCCCTTCAGTCAGAGTGAGGGTTCTCCCTTGAGGGTCCCCATGATCGGAAAGACTTCAGCTGAGTGCCTTCGATTCAGAGTGAGGGTTCTCCCTTGAAGGTCCTCGCTCATGATCGGAGGGACTTCACCTGCGAGCCCTCTCAGAGTGAGGGTTCTCCCTTGAGGGTCCTCATGATCGGAAAGACTTCAGCTGAGTGCCCTCGATTCAGATTGAGGGCCCTCCCTTGAAGGTCCTCACGATCGGAAGGGCTTCACCTGCGAGCCCTCTCAGAGTGAGGGCGCTCCCTTGAGGGTCCTCATGATCGGAAAAACTTCAGCTGAGTGCCCTCTTTTCAGATTGAGGGCTCTCCCTTGAAGGTCCTCATGATCGGAAGGACTTCATCTGCGAGCCCTCTCAGAGTGAGGGCTCGCTCTCCCTTGAGGGTCTTCATGATCGGAAAGACTTCAGCTGAGGGCCCGAGGGTCCTCATGATCTGAACGAAGGTGGGGCTTTCATCTGCGGCCCCTTTCTTGAGCGTCACGCGAAAAGCGTGACGCCTTGTCTCTAGTAAGTCTGTAGGGTACATGCAACAAAAGCGTCACGCTTTTCGCGTGATGCGTCACGCTTTTCGCGTGACGCTCGAACCAAGATGGGGCAAGCTCTCAGTAGTATACCAGAGGGGGGAAGGCGTAACGTCTTATGTAGGACCGCGGGGGGCGTTCGCTGACCCTTACGGTGGAGGAGGTGGAGGAGGTGGAGGAGGTGGAGGAGGTGGAGGAGGTGGAGGAGGTGGAGGAGGTGGAGGAGGTGGAGGAGGTGGAGGAGGTGGAGGAGGTGGAGGAGGTGGAGGAGGTGGAGGAGGTGGAGGAGGTGGAGGAGGTGGAGGAGGTGGAGGAGGTGGAGGAGGTGGAGGAGGTGGAGGAGGTGGAGGAGGTGGAGGAGGTGGAGGAGGTGGAGGAGGTGGAGGAGGTGGAGGAGGTGGAGGAGGTGGAGGAGGTGGAGGAGGTGGAGGAGGTGGAGGAGGTGGAGG